GCAGGATTGCTGGTTCCCTTAAATCAGAAGAAAATCTCCAATGTCTTCAATCATACTGACACTGCCCTGTCCCAAGAGTACATGATGTTAATATTCCATCTATATAGTCAATAATCTGTCTAGCATGAGATCAACAAATACATTTGAAACTAACAGAAATAAGAAGTCATTTTGACTGCAACATAAATATAAAACAATAAAACAAAATAAAAATTAGCTAAACTGAGTAATCCTTAACTTAAGTTAAAAAATTAAAATAAGACTTTACATTAGAGTGCGAAGTATTACAACCAGAACATAATCATCTATGACAAGTGTTCTAAGAACAATGAGGAAAATACAGTTGGTTCATTTTAAACATCTTTCTATTTTATAACGTTTTAATTTTTGATTCTGTTGTTTCTAAAAGGGAAAACAGCACTTTAATAAAGTTGTATTGAAAGAAGATATGCAATGAAAAACTATAAACAAATTATTTTGGTAAAAGTGCTATGTTTCAAATGAAATATATTTAAATCCAATAATAGTCAACCCTGAGCATGATCAAACAAACTAATCTTACCCAAAGTCTATTTTTCTGAAGTGGTAGAACACATCTATCATTATTTGTGAGTATCTCTTTTCACCTATTTTCTGTCTAAAAGAATTCAAAAGCTACAGCTAGACTTTAGAGTCAGACCTACTAAGGCACTGTATACTACCTTACCATACTCAGGGAGGTTTACTCACAAAGAAATAAAGCAGCAATAGATGAAAACAAATGCCCCATTTTTAAATCTTGTTTTTGTGGGTCCTCTTTACATTATGCCCATCACATTTAGAAAAATGCAATTAAATGTCTGTCCGAATGAAGGTGACTCACACATCAACTATTTGATAAACACAAGAGGAGTTCAGTAGCTAAACGGAAACTGATAATGAAATTTCCTTGACAAGCATGTAGTCATTTGTCAAATTTAAAACTTAGCAGATGGTCAGAAAAGATCTGTCAATAGTTGATTTCCTCTGTTTAACTCAGTAAGAAGATTTGCATATCATTGGTTATCTGCTAACAAAGGAAAAGTAAAGGCATTCTAACAGTAAGCTGCATACTAGAACTAAGGGAAATGAATTTCCTTCAAGCCAAAATAACGTAAGTGACACTTGCAATCCTGGAAGGTACAAGGATAAAACCTTGTATCTCAGCTATAGGAATACTATCTAACAACCTGAGCTCATAAAAAATATCAATACCTTCTGAAGGTCAGTGAGATAATTTCCTTCTTAAAATACCAACTAGTACTAAATGAGACAACCACAGGGCGGTTTAAGTTGTCCTAAAGAGAAATAGATTCTTTTCTAGAAACAGAATTAATATAGGGTGACTTATCAAGTTGAAACATAGCTTGAGAAAAATGCAAGGAGAGTGATTTCCTGATAAATATAAAATTATAAACCATTTTCAGAGAGGATTATCTTGCCTTGGAGAATAGCGATGAGGGCAGTCACACCCCAAAGCATGTGCTTCAGTGACCTTTAACCATACTATAATTACTAATAAAGGTCATTAGAGACCTTAAAACAGCATTCCTTCCTCAAAACAACAACAAAAAAGGAAACCTAGTTTAAAATTTTCGGTGACATTATAAAGAAAAAGCTGAGTCCAAATAACATGGTCTTACTAAAGTAAGAAAAGAGGTATGAGAGGTCCACCCTGGCAGAGAAGAGCATTTTATCAGTGACATAGGTTAGAAATTCCAGTGCACAGTGATAATAAAAAGCAATACTATTTTTGTCAGTTTTATTGTTTTTAAATGCTTTATAGACAGGGCATCTCCACATTGTTTAAAAACATCCTGGGGCATACCACACCCATACCTTACCCTGATTTACCCCACTGCACAAATAAAAGGTTTAGTTTCTCTAGAAATTTTGGGCAAGATCCTTACTGACAAATCAGTAAATTAAGCTGCAAGCTCAAAACAACTGCCAAGAGAACCCTGATTTACTTACAGCTTTAAACCTCACAAGTCCAGTCATTAAACAGACTAAATGACCTAGTAAAATAAAAAACATAAAAAAAGGATCCACCAAAAAGATTTCTTAGATCACATAGAAAAATATTTCTTTTTGAGGAATTAAATTCTCCTTATAAATCTTTTAAATATAACGAGTAATACCTGTACTAAGAACACATACATGCTAGATGCTGAAGAGGCTGTAGTGAACAGAATAGACATATTCCTCTGCCTTTGTCGAGTTTACAGTCTAACAGAAGAGATAATATAAAATAAAATTACAATAAACTCTAACATTGCAATAAGAAGAAGCTACATATGCATATGGCAAGATCTCACAAAATTTTTCAAATTTTTTCATCTAACCCATAGTAAGAAACATAGTATTAACATTGTAACCCAGTTTCCACAATTGTCTATAGTAAAATAACAAATACACATATGCATATACAGACATACCCATATATAATTAAAACTGGAAAATTTTTATGAAACAGTATATGCTCTTAAAATGTGTGGCAAATTCTGATATTTTCCATTCCATTTTAAAGTACCTGGTTGTAAATCACTAAACTGATCCTAGGATCCCTATGTGGTTTTTGACCTGAAGTTCGAAAAACACAAGCCATTGGTATTTTTAAGTCAGCTGCATTTTTAAAATAAAGGTGCAAATTCCCAAGCCCTACCTAAAACTACTGAATTTGGGTCCATGGAGCATAGGCCCCAGAAAGCTGGCACTGTAAAACCTGGCAACTCTATTATGGCAGGATACAGAAGAACAATTGTGCCCTGAATATATACTGTAGCTTTCACTACAGGTTATCTGACAGCCCAGCTATCTGAGATATTTGTATCTTGAGTAAAGTTCACAGAAATGTTTTCAAGGTTGCTGTCTCTGATTTTTCCCCCCTGAGACCCAATATATTTGCTATACCACCTCCTGGACCACAAGCATCAACAAGAACAGAGCAGGAAATGTACTGTGCCTCAAAAGCAGACCCGCTGGAAACATCAGAGGAAGGTATATAGTGAAAGCTACATAGAAACACAGAGAAAGCAATTGCGGAGAGAATAAAAGCCTCAAAATTGTTGACTGACTTCTGTCTTTATTTTCTTGAGAAATTACACTTTTTAAAGAAAGTTATAAATATCAATCTCATTAATCTTAACTTTATTTTGCTGGGTGAGCAGAACTCCTTTCCAGGTTGAGAAGAAAACTTCCCAGACACAGGCAACCAAAACCAACTTCCCACAGAGCCAGGAGTTTAGGAGTTAAAAATTCAGACATCCTGGGGACCGGGAACATCATAACCCTATATAATCAAATGTATATCTCTCTTTAAACTACTTTCCATTAACAAGCAGCAAAAGAAGTAATGAGTTCCACCACAGGTTGGGAGAATCCAAAAGTTTGCAGCATCTTAAACAGCAAGTATTTCACATATTGGAAAAATGAGAGACTATCTTCTCTAAAGAGTTGTAAATGATTTTTAGAAAGAAATTCCCTTTAAAAAAATGAGTGTCCCTTCTATTGCCACTGAAAAGAAATTCTACCTCCCCAAGACAGAATGGCAGCTGGAATGTTGCATTCAAAATACACTGAGAAGAATATGAAAAGTCCATTAAAAAATTTAATATTTTTTCCACAGAAGAGAAAAAAAGAAAAGAATAACAGTATTTTCTTCAAAATAATGTCTATTCGCAAAGCTCATTGTCTTTGGATAATTTCTGTCTTCTAGAGACATAGTACAGGATGCTTGGATTAAAACAATTCTGATGGAGGACATGCAAAAAACATGCCAACAGACAACATACAGATTAAACTGTTTTTTTTTTTCTTTTTTTCTTGTGAGACGGAGTTTCGCTCTCGTTACCCAGGCCGGAGTGCAATGGCACGATCTCGGCTCACCGCAACCTCCGCCTCCTGGGTTCAGGCAATTCTCCTGCCTCAGCCTCCTGATTAGCTGGGATTATAGGCACGCGCCACCATGCCCAGCTAATTTTTTTGTATTTTTAGTAGAGACGGGGTTTCACCATGTTGACCAGGTTGGTCTCGATCTCTCGACCTTGTGATCCACCCGCCTCGGCCTCCCAAAGTGCTGGGATTACAGGCTTGAGCCACCGCGCCCGGCCCCCTAAACTGGTTTTTAATACAGAAGCATAGACCTGGAGTTCAGAAAAAGATATGCTCTAAATCTTTATATATATATTTTTGTACCCTCTTATAAAAGCAGATTCAGAGAACAGCCTTGAGGTGAAACTAAGGAACTGAGAGCATTAAAAAGCCCTCAGGTTTTTGTTGTTGTTGTTGTTGTTGTTGTTTTTCAGGCTAAGTGGCTCCTGGGAAGGAGAAGGAAAGAATTAGGGAAAAGTGGGCCTTTTGCATTGAAAAGTCTTACTGTATGCCTCAGTTCCAATTCTGAAATCTTTCACATAGACACTGAATGAGACATCACCACAATATAAAGGATGATATGCTTCAAATCCTTGGAAAACTAAATTTATACATTTCTATATTCTAATCCACTGTCTCTTAGCAGCATTAATTCTAAGTTGAGATACTAAGTTAGAAGGCAGTTTGGCCTAATTAGCAAGTGGCTCAGTGACAAACACAGCCTGCTGTATTAAAATTGCTTAGTAGCTCTACAAATTATAGCTGATAATTTATGAAATTCTAATTCAACCGACCAATGCCGTGAATGTCAAACAAAGGACAGCAAAATATATGTTGAAATTTCCACATACTCATGTTTTACAAAAGAGCAACTCTAAAGCATAATTAAATCAAAAGCACAGGCTATACTAATTTCATCATGTTAGCATTACAGGCAAGAATACACACAAGAGCTTTGCTTTTCCACAAAGAACTTTGCCTTAACATTTTCTAATTTAAAATCTCCCATGCCAGTAAAGGTTCTCCAAGGTATTTACAATTTTAATCTAAAGCACTAGCACCCACATAATGAAGTTATAATAAATGACAACTCGGGAGTTTCCACTTACCTAGATATATTGTTGAAGCTGAGAAACAAATGTTGGAGGCAGGGCAAATTATCCACATCTCTCTGGAAGAAAACAGAAAGCAAAAATGAATCAGATGAAAGAAAAAACTATTATAAATGTCTTCTTGCTAAGCTATTGAAATATATAATCATTTCTATTTACTGCAACATTGCTACATCATTGATTTCTGCTGGACAGTGAGCTCCATTCTCCTCCACTGCAGATCAGATGGGAGGGTTTCAGTACATCCGCAGAACAAGCTGCACCACTCGCAAGGTAAAAAGCACTGAGGAGACAGGGAGAGATGCTGCCGCTAGCCTCTTTAAGCATGCTTTTGGGAAAGATGCCAAAATGCTTCTTCAGCATTTCAACTGTAGCACGAATATAGTATGATCAAACATTTGTTAAAAATCACTGTTAAAGAGAAGCCATTCAAAAGCTTTAAAATTTAAATTTACACAATTAACCTTCTAAACAATAGTGAGAAATTTAAAGCTATTTAACTCACTACTCTCAGAACCTTGGCAATAAACCACCAGTTACAAATGAACCAGTACACTAATGATTCCCCCATAAAACTAAAAGCAAATCATAGTAAGTGTCACTGAAGGGCACTCTAAGGGCAATTCCCCATCTCAGCTCATATCAGAGGTTCTTACAACAGGAAATCTACCCTGTTATATTTATGTACACCACCCCAAAAGCATACCTCTGCTGTTTAAATACAGTTAACCTTAACAAATATTGAATTGTTTAGGACCAAATTATTTTTTAAAAAACCAAAAGATAAACACAAGAAAAAGCTACCTAATTTCATTTAATGAAAAGACATAAACCTTCTGAAAAGATTTATATATAATGGAGTAACAGAATCTTACAGAAGCTTAGTAATTACCAAGTCTACAACCTTATTATTCTCCTAGGAGAAGTGACCAGTTGAGGTTATTGCAGGGGGAGAATAAGGATGTGGTGGGAAGGTGGCCCGGGAGTACATACTGTCCCTAGAGGCTGAGACAGGGCAAGATTCCAGTTGTCCTGACTTCCGCTGCTCTGCTCCTCAAAGTATTACATACTGCCACTTCTCATACAAAATGCTTTTCATTTTTAAGGGCAGTATGATTTGCAGTAATTCTCAGTTATATTGATTTGAATAATACAAAAATAAGTATATTTTACATGTTATTGTGACCAATATTTAAACCTAAATCAAATCTTGTTTTACTGCTTCCATAAATCATTCTTTCTTCCTCCCTCCTTTTCTTCCCTCCATTTGAAAACTACCATTTCTAAGACGCAAGTAAGAGTTTAGGCAAGTGTATTAAAATTACAGACAAACCTAGCTTTTCCCAAAATGCTGTATTTATTTTTTTAAGTTTGTTATCCAAAGAAAATTTAAAAGTGATAGAATTAAGACAGAGTTGCTTTTTTATGGTTTTTCAGAAAGCAAAGGAAAAATGAAGCTGCCTCCTTCTTCTACCTTCCCTGTGTACTATTCTCTAAACTTCTCTCAACCCTTTAGACCCTAAACAGTGTAAAACCAATGCAGCAGCCCAAGATCAAAACACCAGCTATGTTTAACATTCATTTGACATTAACATTCTCAGGCCCACCCCAAAAAAGCCTATTCTGCAGATGTGAGAAAATGATTTTTAGAGCTTTTCATGGTCAAGGAGTAAGTCTGCAGAAACAAGAGGGCAGCCAAATTTTCCTGAGTAGGTGATTTACTTCATATGTTGGCAAACTTCTGAAATCATCCCTTTCGGCTACTTCTCTCTGATATTCCCACAAATGGAGGAGAACTGATGGACTAGTGGTAGGGCTCATTTCATTCCAGGGCCCTAGTTTCCAAAGGATAGCCTACTGCCTATCTACTCTCTAGAAACATGAAGTCACAGCCAGACTGAAAGCCCTCTCTGTATTCCTGGGGAAATCTCTTCTCCCAAATTCTTCCTGGAATCTACCTGAGATATTTCTGGACACAGTAATTGCTACTGACACTCAACTGGGAGAAACTGAGAGGCAGCAGCCTTTAAAAATACATTTTTAAATCAAGGCATCTCATTTAAAAAATACGTTTGTCCCTTTGAGCTCCAGTATATCATCTTCAGAGATTATAAACACCTTCTAAGACATAACTTTTTTCTATTAAAATATAAGACTCAAATTCTATCAGGATATGATTTGTGAGAAAAAGGTGTTTTAAGTTTATTTGACGAAATTACAATATTATAATTATTTAGTCTTTGTTTATGAGACAAAATTTTACCACAAGTCTTTATGAAATTTTCAAAATCATTAAATGTCATTGCCTGATAGAGTTATAAAAAATATTCACAAGTTGAAACATTAAAATACAGAATTCAATTCTATATATCCTTATAATCATTTACATAGATAGCTTGTCCAGTACTTTAAAAAGCAAATAATTACCCACAATCACTTTTTTGTTGTTCCAAATTTCATTTCTGTAATAAAATGTTAAGTTTTCTCCAATTTTCCTAGCAATTCTGTGATATACGTTTGTAGTGAAATTCTAGCATTACAACAGATAAAACGAAAATACCATATTTACCATATCAATTATCTATGCACGTATTATTTTTATTTATTTAATTTTTTGAGACAGAGTTTTGCTCTTGTTGCCCAGGCTGGAGTGCAATGGCACAATCTTGGCTCACCACACCCTCTGCCTCCCGGGTTCAAGCGATTCTCCTGACTCAGCCTCCCAAGTAACTGGGATTACAGGATGTGCCACCACGCCCCACTAATTTTGTATTTTTAGTAGAGACAGGGTTTCTCCATGTTGGTCAGCTGTTTCCCGACTTCAGGTTATCCAGCTGCCTTGGCTCCCAAAGGGCTGGGATTACAGTCATGAGCCACCACACCCAGCCTATGCATGCATTATTTACAGAAGAAAGACCTGTTAAAAATTACAAAAGGATGGCTCCTCTAATATGAGAGAGTAAACAAAAGATGGGATATATATAAGATCCAGGGAGTACAATTCATCATCCAGAGAGGCAAAGAGAAATCCAAGGATGAAATCTGTATAGCAGGGCTAAATATAACCAAGCTACAATAGACAGAGGACAGGAGGCTCTGGAAGGGTATCTCCAAGAGAAAAAAAAATGAAACATACATCACCTAAAGTCTTTGCCCATACAGAGAATTTTAGGTTCTGTTAAAGAGTTTGGAAATTAATTAATGATAGTTAAACGAACTCTAAATTGAGACAGTTATTAATCTCAGGGAAAACAAAAGTTTAACACCATGGTCTAAGACTCACTTTGAAAACCTCACCTTGCTTTGTCAACCATCCTAATCTATTTTATCATAAACGTATCCATTTTCATTAGCCCCTGCATTGAAAGACCCATCCTAAACCAGAACCCCAAGAAATTTCACACTAAATCTCCTGTCTTTGCCTTTGAAGATACAGTCAAGGAAATATCAAGGTAGTGTGCTTTTACTTGCCAGAAATAATTTCTCCTTTGTTTTATTAATTAATCATTCTGGTGGTACTCTGGAGGAGCCAGCACTCAACAACCTGCTTATCTAAAAATTATTTTGGAATGATGGGGAAAGTGGAAATGGGGGTTAGGGATAATGTAAGGAAGCTAAATTCTCATCTCTTTAACAAAAAGTATTTATTTTACAGTCAAGCATTAAATACTCCTAACACTGGAGGGTTAACTGGAGGTAAGTATTTCAGAAGGTAACTATTTCTGGAGGTAACTATTTTAGCATCAGAGAAACTATAATAAGCAGACAGAATGCCAACATACCTAAGATGAGAGAAAAAAAAGAAATAAAATGTTTTTATTCTGAAGTTAACTATTTCAGCATGTTAGAGAAATTATAACAAAGCAGATGGAATGCCAACATATCTAAGATGAGAGGAAAAAAATTAAATAAAATGTTTACATGTAGGGGAATATTTATAGCTCATCTGTTATTAATTTACTCATTATCTTAAATTTGTTACATTTAATACAACATACTGAAAATAATATTTAAAACATTTTTGAAGTAAAATTCAAAACTATTTTATGTATTTGGAAAATATAATCCTTTTAAAAATAAAAAAAGAAAATTATTTATCACATGACTATTTGAGAGGATTATAATTATTTATTTTTCAAAAAAATACTGACTTGTCTTCTGAGAAAAATGCTTGTCCTACTCTGCTCAGGAACTGCTGTCCATATCCCTAAACTTCATAAAAGACCTAAATGGCCAAGAGCAGTGGCTCACACCTGTAATCCCAGCACTTCGGGAGGCTGAGGTAGGGGAGGTCAGGATTTCGAGACCAGACTGACCAATATGCTGAAACCCCATCTCTACTAAAAATACAAAAATTAGCTGGACATGGTTGTGTGCACCTATAGTCCCAGCTACTCAGGAGGCTAAGACAGGAGAATTGTTTGAACCTAAGAGGCAGAGGTTGCAATGAGCCAAGATAATGCCACTGCACTGCACTCCACCCTGGGTGACAGAGCAAGACTCAGTCTAAAAAAAAAAAAAAAAAAGAACTAAATGATTCAGCAATCTGACCACGTGGGGAACATCTATCACTGGAGCTATTTTTAGAGCAGCTTCCTCTAGAGGAATAAGGAAGAAAAAAGGTGAACAGATAAGGATTTAGATATGTACTAAGTAGGGCAAATATGAGTATAATAAAATCACAGCTATCCTAATTTTACAATGTAGGCTTTCATTCAAAACAAGTTAGAGTAAAAATACATAGGAGTAATTATTCTAACTTTGAGAGCTGTCAACAGATTTATTCACAAAGCATTAAACAAGTTTGAATACAAAAAACAAAGTACTCCTTTTTATAAAAAGATTTAAGTTAATTCCAAAATACTTGCTTCACTCATCACTTTGTGACACAGACACATATTATATGAGGACTAATAAGTGCAAGCCGTATGTTAAACTCTAATCATATATATAAATACCAACCAAAAAAAATGTCCATTACTTGGCCCTGTTGCCCAAAGGCATTAATGTACTTATCTGGTTTTTGTACTTGTTTACTAATCATTACACAGCAACAGAT